AGATGTGCAGAGCACCAAAACAAAGGGCAGGACTTTTGGTTCTGTTTTTAAGAATAAGACCAACATGAGAGAATGCTCATCTCACAGACCGTTTACTTTTTTTTTCTTTGTAAGTTTATTTAATCAATCGCTACACCTAACATGGGGCTTGAACTCACAACTCCAAGATCAAGAGTTGCATGTTCCTCCAACTGAGGCAACCAGGTGCCCCTTACGAACTTCTTTTAATCTGAAGGCAGCTCCATAAATCCACATCATCAATATACAGATAATCCAAATCTGAAATTCTTAAAATACACACTACCTTTGTTTATAATATTGTTGTTCAACATGTTTTTGAACTATATAAGTGATCATACTGTATATTTATCCTTCAGCAATTTGTTTTACCTTATCTTTACAGTTTTACAATTAGTCATGAGAATATAGGATATATGCAGCTTCTCTTCATTCACTGTAACAACTAAATAGTATTCCACTGTAGGAATCCATGATTTTCTCCCCCAATCTCCTGCGAAGAAGCATTTAGATTGTTTCCTACTGGTCACAAACACAAAAACAGGATTAGAACGAAATACCCACTTCATTAATCTACTGTTTTCCAGTTGATTCAATCAGCAATTCATAAAATAAGTAAGATTCTATAGCCTAGGAACTTTGAAATCCTGGAGACCTGGGATCTACAGCTGGGACCAGCTGTGTTCTTGCACCAATTGTTTAAATTTCCCTTTACCTCAGATTTCTCATTTGTAAAATAGAGTTAATGAAAATTACTACATATTTACCATTGAAAGGACGAAATAAGTTATTGGAAAACGTGCATTCTGGCACACAGTGTACCTTCAATACAGAGTAGCTACTATTGTTATCAACAACCTCTCCTGGGTGCCTGGGTGGCTCCACTGGGGGTCTCCCCTCCACTAGGTCAGGATCCCAGGGTCCTGGGGTTGAGCTCCAGATCACATCAGGCTGCGTGCTTGCCGGGAAGCCTGCTTCTCCCTCTCCCTCTCCCACTCCCCCTGCTTATGTTCCCTGTCTCTTGGTATCTCTCTCTGTTAATAAACAACAACCACCACCTCTCCTTTCAATCAAAATTATTTAAGGTACTTCAGGAGCTTCAAAAAACTAATAATTTTTGGGGGGGGGGTGCCTGGGTGGCTCAGTGGGTTAAAGCCTCTGCTTTCGGCTCAGGTCATGATCCCAGGGTCCTGGGATGGAGGCCCACATCGGATTCTCTGCTCAGCGGGAAGCCTGCTTTCCTTCCTCTTTTCTGCCTGCCTTTCTGCCTACTTAAGATCTCTGTCAAATAAATTAAAAAAAAAAAAAAACTAATAATTTTTTTAGCTGAGATTTTGCTATGTACTCCGTACTGATTATTTCTCAGAAGACTAAACAACAAAAATGTTCAGTAATGCAACAAATATGGGGGGAAGGGAGGAGTAGGAAGGCTGATAACCTGGGAATTTGAAAAACCTGTTTCTAAGTAGGAATGTAAGTGCTTCGGTCCACTAAGCCCTCTCAAGGATAAACATACTCATGCTGAATCCTAACGCAGTGCTGTTCAACAAAAATGTGAGCCACATAAGTAACTCCAATTTTTCTAGTAGCTGCATGAAAAAAGTTAATAGCAATAGGGAAAGTTAACTTTAGTAATGTATTTTACTTCACCCAATATATACAATCATTTCAAGATGTATATAATATTTAAAAAATGAGGTATTTTACTTTTTGCTTTACACTGAATCTTCAAAATCTGATGTGTCTTTTACATTCGCAGCATGTGTCCAGCCCAATCTGCCCTACATGAAGTGCCGGACAGTCACATGTGCAAAGAGTTAACCAATTTGACAGCACAGTATTAACCCATGGTTTGCCAGAAAGATCCCTGTACAGTGTTTTTAGCAAAGACTTTTGGTTTACCAGCTAACATAGTCTCAATGCCTCTTACCAAAGTAACTCACAAAACTTTGGTTCTTCCCAATACAAATAGCTCAACTCCATAATTTTAGCAGAAGTTATCACAGTGGAGGAGCAAAGAGGAGGAGAATCATGACTCACAGTTTATAAGACACATTTTTTTAAATTTATTTTTATTTTTATTTATTTATTTAACAGAGAGATCACAAGTAGGCAGAGAGACAGGCAGAGAGAGAGGAAGAAGCAGGCTCCCTAATGAGCAGAGAGCCCGATGGGGGCTCGATCCCAGGACCCCGGTATCATGACCTGAGCCGAAGGCAGAGGCTTTAACCCACTGAGCCACCCAGACACCCCACAAGACACATTCTTAATAAGGATTTAATTTCAACCTCCCCGAAGCTCAGGGAGGTAGATGATTTACAGATGGGAGAACAGAGGAGCAGGATTAAGTGACTCGCCAAGTCCTATGGTAAGTGGATCCAATACCATGTCTCCAGACTCCACAGGCCGCACAGTTGTACAAACGCAAAACGTTAAGTGGCCTCTTCATCTTCCGCAGAGATCTAGCCCAGTGACTGAAATAAGGGTATTGACAGGCTCTAGATTTCTATTTGCATCAGAAATTCAAATGAGCGCTTTAAAAAAGGGTATCCAAATCTGCGCAAAAACATCTGAATATGAAAAAACCACAGCAATGGTCAAGCAATCACGAATATAAAGGTGGACTAGTTCTCTCAAAAATTTACTACCCAGGTGAGCAAAATCTTTACAAATTAAACCCCATTTTGGTCTCCCCAACCTAATGTATTTTTGTTAAAGCACGTAAATTCAAACTACTTGGCTGTTTAGCTTAAGGACCGTTACAAAATGTTTTTAAGTAAAAATGCAATTATAGGCGCCTGGGTGGCTCAGTGGGTTAAGCCTCTGCCTTCAGCTCAGGTCATGGTCTCGGGGTCCTGGGATCAAGCCCCGCATCGGGCTCTCTGCTTGGCAGCGAGCCTGCTTCCTCCTCTCGCTCTCTCTCTGCCTGCCTCTCTGCCTACTTGTGAACTCTGTCTGTCAAATAAATACATAAATAAAATCTTTTAAAAAATGCAATTATAAGGATTACTGAATGTTTAATCTCTACGAATCACAAGGTTCTAGTAGTGAATTCACCATGGGAAAATACACAGCTTTCCCTTTTTAAGAATACCAACCAAAAGACAATATACCAGAATTTTATTAGTGAGTAAGTGGTAGGTGGGTTTGCCTATTTTCTCCAGTGAATACAGGTTAGCTTTATAGTTTAATATTAATACAGGACTTAAACTTACTAAGGCCTTCAAAGGTGCCTTGCTTGGCTCAGCAGGTAGAGCACAGTAACACTTGACTTCTCCAGGAGGGGAGTTTGAGTCCCTATCTTGGGAGTAGAGTTTACTTTAAAAATAATAAAATAAATATACTAAGGCCTCTAAACACAGATAAGAGCTTAATATAATTTCTTTTCCATTTTACATACAACTATTATTCTAATACCAAGCACATCTCATGTGACTGTTAACAGGATCTCGATTAGCAAATCTCTCCAGAACAGAGTTTACAAATTCTGTCTTATAAAGTACCTTCCAGCGCTGATATTTATTAACTTTTTAATTATCTTAAATTTTTAATAATCCTTATATACACCATAGGGGCCTAGAAACATCAAGTTCATTTTAGTTCAAAGTCACAATCCTCCCTTTTTCCTGATATTGCACACTGAAGCAATCTGAGTTTTTACACCCACTAGCTTTTTTCTAAAAAAAGATGTGTACAAACGAATTGGCAGTCTATAGGAGCTTAGACACTCTAGAATGCGATATCAACCACTGTCGGCGTAACTGAGATTTCTTTTTCTTCTAGGTCTCCAGAGGCTCCTTCATTAAGAAACACTTGTTTGGGGGCGCCTGGGTGGCTCAGTGGGTTAAGCCTCTGCCTTCGGCTCAGGTCATGATCCCAGGATCCTGGGATCGAGCCCCGCATCAGGCTCTCTGCTCAGTGGGGAGCCTGCTTCCTCCTCTCTGCCTGCCTCTCTGCCTACTTGTGATCTCTGTCTGTCAAACAAATAAATAAAATCTTTAAAAAAAAAACAAAAACACTTGTTTGTGGCGACCTATCAGTGGCCAGACTCTAAACACACCTGAGAAGCAACTTAAAGAAATAGGGCCCTGAAAGGCGAATGCTCTCAATCGCAGAGACAAACTAGTAAACAACTAATTTGAATCCAAAACGATACGAGCCATCTGGACATATGACAAAGTGCCAAATGAACCCTCCTGGGGGAGATTAATTTGGAACACCTCCTAGGTGTGCCACGAGGGTCGGAGCTCTCGGGTGAGGGGAGGGGGAGGATTTGAAAATGTTTTCCTCAGCTTGACTTAAAAAATCCAGCAATATCCCCAGAGCCTGGAGGCCACAGTACTTTCCATCTGATCCTCCCCCGTCTGAAAAGTGAGGCTAGCAGAGCCCAAGCCTGACCGCCGGCCTGGGAACTCGGCTACGTGACCGCCCGGGTGGGGCCGGAGCCAGGCGGTCCTCTCAGATAAGATCTGGGAACCCCTCCTCCTCCGGGCCCCCGTGGCAGGCCACCACCTGTTCACTCCTCTCACCGTCACCAGTGGACGAAAAGACTCCGCCCAGCTCTGGGGCCAAGCGCAGGCACCGATCTGGGTGCAAAATTTGATCCCTGCCAACCCCAGAACAGAAGTGGGCCGAGATCTGAGGGCCGGCAGGGCCTGGCGAGGCTGGGCGGCTCCGCGGCCCGCGGGGAGCTCAGCACGGAGCTGGGTGGGGGCGGGGGTTGGGGGAGGGGCACGGTGGAGTCACCCAGGCCGGACGCAGAAGGACTGCGCCCCGCGCCCTCCGTGGGCCTGGAGGGGCGCCCAGCAGCGCCCTGGCTCTCCCGTGTCCACTTCCTCCCGGAGGGCGGGCGGAGAGTGCGCCCGAGGCAGGGGAGGCGGGCTCCCACGCAGGAAGGAGAGCTGCCCCCCCGCCGGCCTCGGGACGCAGGGACTACCACGCCGCACTGCGAGCGCCCGCATAGCCGGGACCCCCCGCTTTACCTGGTCCGGCGGAGGCTCGGGAGCGAGCGAGCGGGCGGGCACGACACCGGCCCTCCCTCACCTGGGCGGAAGTGAACGGGCCAGGGTGACCGCGCCTCACCTGGCAGGCCCTTCCCTAGCACCGACCCTCCCCGCCCGGGGCGGGGCGCCGGGGTGGCGCGGGTGAGGGGGCGGGGGTAGACTGGGCCGCGGGAGGCTGACTCTGGGGAGGGGGGTGCGGGGGCGGCGGACTTTCCTATTTTCGGCAGGTGAAATTCGTCTGGGCGCGGGAGGGTTAAAGAGCCTGGAAAAGGTGGAGTCTGGGGGCCCAGTGGGCAGGTGAAACGCCTGGTGGTGGGGGCAGCCGGTGCTAATGGGGTGGGGAGATCCTGCCGGACTGGTGTTGTAAGAGGGCTGGGCAGAGAGGGAGACTCAAAGGCAAGCTAATGAAAGGATGTTGATGAAAACATGGTCAGATTTAATTAGTCCCCCATTGTCCCTTTCCTTTCAGTTTGGTCATCTCTCCCTTTTCTATTATCTGCTAACCCAACATAAAACTCGTAAGAAGTATACCTGGGGAAATTTAGTTGGAAATAAAGGAATCTGGCAATATTTGTCTGCAATATGCAGCTTATACACACTGATGCGGGAAATAAGGGCAGAGGAGAAATATTAAATTTCCTGCCACCTATAGCCCACTGACAAGTCCTTGAAACAGGCAGTGGCTTTCCTCTAGGAACTCAGATGCCTGGATATTAATACTTTGCTAAGGGCAAGCAGCAATCTTAGCCTGGCCCCTAGAATCCTGTAAGTCTACTTTAACAGAAAAATTCCTGGGGTGCCTGGGTGGCTCAGGTCATAAGCCCAAGGTCCTGGGATCCAGCCCCGCATCAGGCTCCCTGCTCCAGGGGAAGTGTGCTTCTCCTTCTCCCACTCCCCCTGCTTGTGTTCCCTCTCTAGCTCTCTCTGTCAAATAAATAAACATAATCTTTAAAAAAAATTTTTTTTTCTTTGGAAACTTCCTTTATGTCTGCCCAGCAAGATACACATTGGCAATCATCCTCCAAGCCTATGACCCCTGACAGAGGGTTTACTAAAGGACAGTAAATGACCTTTCCCAACAGTAGCTAGTCCCCTCCAGATCCTGGAGGCTTAAGCTATCATTCACTCCCTCCCAACCTGAAAGTGTTTAATGGGGCCAGCCACTCCTCATAACCCCAGTGCAGCTTTTTCTGCTCAAAGGTCCCGTCACCATGCTTTAATAAAACCACCTTTTTGCACCAAATACATCTCAAGAATTCTTTCTTGCCTTGGGCTTGGAACCCTAACATCTTTCCTACCTCATTTTCCGTACCTCATTTTCTCTGTGAAGAAACTGCACTCTTCAATGGTGAAGTGATTTGTCCAAAGTTTGGGACCACATGGGATCTTCTGACTCTTAAGTCCTGTTTGACTTCACTATACATTTTAACGTTTTTATTCTTGATATCACAACTTGACATTGAGAAAGATGTGTACAAAACCTATAATCCCACTCTCTTTAATTATTCCATTCTCTTTCCTGTAACTAACTTAAGAATTTTGATGATAGGCCTTTTACTTTGTATAATAAGTTCCAAGCATTAGCCATAAAGAAAATCAGTTTTCAGGTCTGTATCCATTGAACCGATGCGATATTTGTTAGGCACTGTGATTGACTCTATAAAATGTTAAAAAAAAAAAAAAGGAATACCTGTCCTCAAGGAAGATAAGGCATATATACAAAACAATTGCAACATAAGAACATTTGTTGTAAGATAAAGCGCTTGGCACTTAACAGTGTTGTTAGTTTGCTTGTTTTAAAGGAAATATTACTTGCTAGGCGCGGTCCGGCTTCTCAGGAACTAAGAAACTCTTAAGGGAAATACATTTCTACAATAACTTCGATTACCAAATAGAATGAACCCAGAACTTGGAGAAAATAGACAATGCTGTCGAAAGCATCTCTTAGGACTGAAACAGGTGTTTTGTTTTGTTTTTAAGATTTTATTTATTTATTTGACAGACAGAGATCACAAGTAGGCAGAGAGGAAGGCAGAGAGAGGGGAGGGAAGCAGTCTCCCTGCTGAGCAGAGAGCCCGATGTGGGACTCGATCCTAGGACCCTGGGATCATGACCCGAGCTGAAGGCAGAGGCCTTAACCCGCTGAGCCACCCAGGTGCCCCCTGAAACAGGTTTTTAACAGTATTTGGGATAAACGTAAAATGGAGAAGTCACTGGTACATCTTACAGGTGGAGACCTTGCTTGAAGCATCACCTGGGAAGCATTGGGTCTCTTCTTCGTCTAACATTTTTTTTTTAAGATTTTATTTATTTATTTGAGAGAGAGAGATCACAAGTAGACAGAGAGAAGGGGGAAAGCAGGCTCCCTGCTGAGCAGAGAGCCCGATGTGGGGCTCGAACCCAGGACCCTGAGATCATGACCTGAGCCGAAGGCAGAGGCTTAACCCACTGAGCCACCCAGGCGCGCCCCTTCGTCTAACAATTGATGGTGGTTATGAACATATTTTCCCTCTTACCCAAAAAATAATGTGACTTTAAATTGATTGTTTAACAAAGTTCAAGCTTCTTGGCTTAATATGCAAGATCCTTTAAACTCTCCTTCCTCTTGTAGAGTCTTCAACCTAATCTCCAAACAAGCCTAGTGCAGGTCCTTGGAGTCACACCAGAGCTTCTCTGTGGGTTATTTCTCCCCTTTCCCAAGCCTGGGAGGTCCTGAAAAGCCCCACCCTCCCCTCAGGGCTAGACTTAAGTCTCACCTCTGAAGAGACGCTGCTTCCTGGTGACCCCAGCAAACCATCGCTACCACATTTCATCTAATTTCTCCACATTTTTGTGTTGATTTAATGTGAGCTTTCCTTTGGCTTTTACCTGGAATTTAAAAACATTTTTTTAAACTTATTTAAATATATTGTTTAACAAGTTTACTCTATGATAAACATTTTGGGTACTGAGTTGGTTTTTGTTTATTTTAACCCCTGAGAACCCTCAAGAGCGTCTTATTCATAGAATGATGAAGATGAACCAAAATTTTAAGAACATCTCTGTGAAATCAGAAGATCTGAACTTGAAACCTCACTCCACCATTTCTGAAAATATGTGATTTTAGCAAGTTACTTAACCCTTCTAATTCTCATTAGTGAAATTGAGGTAACAGGGCTTACTTCATATGGTAGTTTCAAAGGTTAAATGAAGAAATCCATGTACTGGGGCACCTGGATGGCTCAGTTAGTTAAGTGTCCACCTTCGGCTCAGGTCATGATCTCTGGGTCCTGGGATGGAGCCCCGTGTCGGGCTTCCTGCTCAGTAGGGAGTCTCCTTCTCACTATCTCTCTCCCCTTCTGTCCTTCCCCACTTCTGTTTCTGTCTCTCAAATAAATAAATAAAATCTTTAAAGAGAAAGAAGAAAGAAAGAAAGAAAGAAAGAAAGGAAGAAAGGAAGAAAGAAAGAAAGAAAGAAAGAAAGAAAGAAAGGAAGAAAGAAATACATGTATTGCATATACCTGACACACAGAAAGTACTCAATAAATGAAGCAACGCATCAATGGGAATAACCTTGACAGATACTGGTGACAACCAGGAGGCAGCCAAGAGTAGCAAATAAAGTGAGACCAGGGCAGATGGAGGAGGACCAGAAAATATTTCTGGAAACTTTAGGTTATGAAAGTTTATCCTTTATCTATAAAAATTAAAGAATTAATGAAAAACTTTTGAATAGAATGTATCTATCATAACATTTAATTTTTGATGTTTATTCTTTTAAAAACTTTTTTCTTTTTAGAACTTTTAGGGTCATAGCAAAACTGAAAGGAAGGTATCAAGATTTCCCTTATACCTCTCACTCCCACACATGCATGGCCTTCTGTATCAACATCCCCCACCAGAATGGTACGTCTGTTACAACTGATGAAACTCCATTGACCAATTATAATCGCCCAAAGTCCACTGCTTACATTAAGGCTCTGCTCTTGGTGTTGTACATTCTAGAGGCTTAAACAAACGTATAGTGACATGTATCCACAGTTACGGTATCATGCAGAATATTTTCACTGCCTCGAAAATCCTCATTGTCCTCTGCTTATTCATCCCCCACTCCACCCCTAACTCCTGGCAGCCATGAATCTTTTTTTTTTTTTTTTGAAGATTTTATTTATTTATTAGACACAGAGAGAGAGATCACAAGTAGGCAGAGAGGCAGGCAGGGGGTCAGGGGAAGCAGGCCCCCTGCTGAGCAGAGCACCCGATGCAGGGCTCCATCCCAGGAGCTGAGATCATAACCTGAGCCGAAGGCAGAGGCTTAACCCACTGAGCCAGCCAGGAGCCCCAAATCTTTTTATTCTCTCTGTAGTTTTGCCTTTTCCAAAATGTCAGATAGTTGGAATAATACAGTATATAGAATTTTTACACGGGCTTCTTTTACTTAGAGATATGCTTTCAAGGGGTACCTGGATGGCATAGTCAGTTGGGCAGTCAGTTGGGCTCCTGACTCTTGGTTTTAGCCGGTGTTATGGTCTCAGGGTCCTGGGTTCAAGCCCTGTGTCAGGCTCCACTAGGTGCAGGGTCTGCTTGGGATTCTCCCCGTTCTGTTAGCCCCTCCCACCTATGCTAGCACTCTATCTGAAAATAAATAAATACATCGTTAAAAAAAAAACTATTTTAGAAATATGCATTTAAGATTCCTCTATGTTTTCTCATGGCTTTATAGCTCTCTTTTTTTAAACACTGCATAAAATGCCATTGTCTGGATATACCACAGTTTATACATTCACCTACTGAAGGATATCTTAATTGCTTCCAAGTTTTGGCAATTATGAATAAAGCTGCTATAACATCTATGTGCAGGTTTCTGCGTGGACGTAAGTTTTCAACTCCTTTGGCTAAATGAGTTGTAGCTGAATAATGAAGACCCCCAAAAGAAGCCTAGTTTATTACCCCAGCAAGGGGGAGGAAGATTTTCTCCTTGCCTGGCAATAGTCCAGCCAACGAGAAACTGCCATAAGTCAGCTAATGAGAAACCATCACCACCCTGAACTCTCACTTGCCTCCAATGGACCTTTGTTCAAAGCATCCCCTCCCAGCTTACTCCTTTTTCTCTATAAAGTAGCATTCATCTCTTTTATTCTC